CTTGAAAATGTTTTTATGCAAAACATTTCCTATTTATTTCTGTTGTATATCTGAGCCATTGGTTCGTCGAAAATACTGACCGGAACTTCCATCTCATACTTGAATTTGTCAATCATTTCCAATATATTGTTGAAAACGGTTTTCTCGTACTCTTTGAACACATTATCCAAACTCATCTCATCATAGAGTTGTCGGATCTGTTTGACGGACTCGAAGTCTTTTACTCCGTAATGGGATTGAAGTAATTGTTTGTGTCGATCGGAACCCAATTCTAGGGCTTTGATGACATTCCAGCAGCACTTGCCGTCCTCTATGTCTGTGCCTATCTTTCCGGTGATCAACGAATCCCCAAAACAGTCTAAATAGTCGTCCTGTGCCTGAAATAAGTGTCCGATTCTTAACAGAATCTCTTCAACTATTTGGTGATCTTTTGGCGAATTATAATCCGATAAATACATCGCTATTTGAAATGAAATTTAAAGTTAATTTTTAATTATAAACTACGAGAACCCAAATCCTTACCCAATCTAACGGGTAATACAAATGTATAATAGGATGTTTTGTATTTGACAATTGCTGAGTATTTATCAAACGTGTATTGGCTTAGGTCTGGTCGGGTATGGCCTGGATTTGCCAACAAATCCATACACTGGCCGTACGCTGTTTTCTGGAAAATCTGTCAAAACATTGTTTTAATGCAAACATCTTTACGCAAATAATATCGGTTACCTCTTGAATAAGCAGTTGCTGTAAGTATATTATCCCAAATAGAGACTTCATTTCAAATTGGTTTCTCATTTAAGGACTAAGTTATTCTCAGCGCAGCAATGTCCGTTAGTTAGGTTGCAAAAGGAACACAAATTTTGTAAACATCATTTTATTCTTAATTAATAAGTAAAATACAATAACTTTAAATATTTTCTTAAATATGATAAATACCTGTCTATACCAACACTTCTGTCCGCGTCTTGTGATAGACTTATCCATAATGTCATCGAGAATAAGAAAGTAGGTCTGAAACAGTTCGAGAGCCCATCCCAGAGCCCGAACTCTGTCCAACATATCGCCGGTCTTTTGCTGTTCAGTGGCCAACACGTGGTAACTAATGATAGCCATTAGCCCGCGATTGCGTTTACCATTTGGCACGTTATAGTCAATCACTTTCGCGAACCACTCGTTAGCTTTGGATAATTCATTGATCTCTGAATTGGTTTCATCGGCTCTCGGGGTCGGGCGCGACAATTGTCTCATAACTTTATGATAACTTTTGTCAAAAAGTATGGCTTCATTGCGACGAACGCTTTGAATGATGTCCGATGTCTTCGGCGCATAAATGGCCTGTTTTTGGGCCAAACGGGACTCGTGTCGGACAAGTGGTCGAAGTGATAGACACTTGTTTCTCATTGAATGACCAAAAATACATTTATTTGCAACTCTTAACATTGTATCAAATGGTGTCCTGAGTTTTTATATCATAAAAAATAATGAAAATTTATATTTTTATAACTATTCGTTTAAGTAATAAAAAAAGTTTATTTGAAAAAACCTTCAAACTTAAGTTGTATATTTTACACCTGTGCGTTACAACACGTAATACAGTACGTAGTAAATATGTGTTTGGATATAGATGTTTTTCTAAAAGTTGTAAAAAATAGTTGCCTAGTTAATTGCCAAAATACTAATTGATAATATTGTAAAGTCCTGTTTGCAATGATTGAAATATATTTTAATTGTTATTTTGAACTCAACTGCTCTTAAAAATTGAAAGTTATCACATTTAGTAAAGTTACAATCATTTTATGTGTTTTTGACGTGCTTTGCGTTAATTAGTGTCCAGGTTATAATTAGACGGGCAATAGGTCTTATTATTTATGTAGATTTACCACTAAAAATGATGAAAACCTAATGAAATTTTTTAAATCACTAAAAGCATTGGAAAATCAAGAGTTAAAGTAGATACTGATTTTTGATTAACAACAATGTACTGTAAATCTTCACGTATTTATATTTTACAATTAAAGATTTGGATTGTATTTAAAATACTGTTAAGAATTTAATTCAAATTTACAATAAAAGCAAATTGATTTATATTCCGGATAAAAATGTCGGTGAAATCAAATCAAATTGTGTCCAAAAAGAGATCAAAAATACTGAATGACTTAATTTTAGATAAGATTCTGTCAAAGATATCGGCGAAAGACAAATGCCGTTTGAGTCGTGTATCGCAACAATTCAATGGTCTTATCGACGATCAGTTGGCATCAATAGATGACATATCCGTTCTCATAAGCGAACAAACCATAGCCTTCTCGCCCCACAACTCCAAACTTGATTTCAAGTTTTTGAATGAATGCCGAAAACCAACAATTATTTTGAATGTATCGCAAGTGAAACACAAATATCAATGGTTTCTAAAAAAGTTGCAAAACTTGAAGGGAATTGATTTGTTTTGTATTCATTCAAACGAAGAACTATTCAAATGGTTTATTAAATTGTTTCCAAACATTCAGATCCATCTGATATTGCAATCCAGTCGACACAATAACTACTATAGTAATGAAGACTTTAAGGCTATTGAAAGGACTTTGTGTTACAATTTGTATGCAATTCAAATGTCTGGCTTTAATGATGACCTGCAGAATAAGATGGTTGAAACCAAGTTGTTTTCACCGACATTGAAAACAGTGGTTTTCGTGGACTGTTCGCCACTAACTCTGGATTTGGTCTTTAAGCTGAGGCACACAAAAGTTAAGCGTTTTATATTTAATAGTGACCCGTATTCAGGCCTAACCTACAATGTGATCAATCAAATCGTGGAATTTATTGGCCGCCAATTAGTAGAAATCAAAATAACGGTCGCCGAGAGTGAGAGTGAAAATTCTCAGCTTATTTTCAATATGATCTGCAAATCGTGTCCATCGTTGCAAAAAGTGGTCATTTCCTGCGATTACTTGATCTCAATAAAAGCGATTCAAACGATGCGATCGTTGCAGGAGCTGAAGGTTGACTTGAGATACAGTTTTTTGCCATATTTGCAATTAACTCACGATTGGAAAAGCAATCTAAAGACACTGTCACTCAACGGACAAATTGGTCTTCAATCGCATTCAATCCAACTATTGGCTGAAGTTTTGCCAAATTTAAAACATCTTATTATCAATGGTTTGATCATAAAATGCGGTAAAACTCAAGAACCCGATTGTGTCGACTGTTGCCAAAAGTTTCTTCACTGGTATTCAAATCCAGTGAACAAATGGACACAAAATCTCATTCAGAAAGACATTAAGTTTGAATGCAATGATTACAACAAGAAACAAAATCGAGTCGTTTTGATGGCAATTCTCAATGAGTTTCTCAGTTTCGGTCATTCATATCGTTTGGAAACTCATTTCATTAGTTTTAGCAAATGTTTGGATTTTGTGATCGATTTGATTGTAATGACAAGAATACGGGGAGAAGTGATTGCATTTACAGTCAATGATCTCTACGAAGATGTCATCAAATATCACAACTTATTTGGAGACAAACCTTATATCTATGCGAAAACATTGACCAAAAGTTTGAAAGTCAAGCCTTATATCGATATCAAGAAATTGCCAGATAATTGCCTTTCGGTCTACTTTCGTGGCAAAAGTCCCGCAACTTTTTTCAAAATATAAATTTTGTTTAATTTATGTTTTGATTCATTGATTAAATAAAACTAAAAGTTTTATCAAAATCGTTGTCTTTATTGAAGACTTGTTAAAATTGCTTTTATTTAACGTAACATTTAAAACAATAGTTAGATTATAATTAATAACATTTACTTCAAAGCATTTCAATGAGAGAGTATGTGTGGAAGTTATGGTAAATCACTCGTAAAGCCGTGCGATTCACTTGATTTCGCAAAGTTTTGGGCATTGACTCAATAAACTTAATCCCTGCCCTCAACTCCTTTCCCTTATTTGACACCATTTCTCGTAATGTCTGTTCACTGACCGCAGCGTTTGCCTCCAACTCTACAAAAGCGCAACATATTTGGCCGTAAGTGCCGTCGGGAACGCCAATAACTGCCGCCTCTTTCACAGCCGAGTGCTGCAGAAGAATGGCCTCAACGACGAACGGATTGATTACATTATTGTCTTCATAGATAAGTTCGTTGACTCGACTCTCGACATACAGTAACCCTTCGTTGTCGTAATAGCCGGCGTCTCCAGTCTTGTAGAAGCCGTCAATTGTAAAGGCATTTCTGGTTACAATCGATAGGTTGCGTGACTTTTCAATAGTTTGCTGGCTTTTCACACAAATCTCGCCTAATTTATGGGCCGATCGGGACTTCTCTGTCTGCGGATGTGTTATCTTGATCTGAACGCCGGGAACCGGATGTCCGACAGTATAGTAGTTTGCGATGCATTTGTTTGTGTCAAACGTCGACATACTTTTCCACACACAGGATATGATACCTGTTTCTGGCTTTCCATATACTTTATATGGGAATAAATGTTTAAATAATTATCTCTTAATAAATAGATAATTATAATTATTAATAAATTACTTGATCGGAAATATTTGGGACATAACTTTCTGAACACCTCTTCAGTGAGTGAGTCCGAGTGAGGAAGTGGTGAACCGGTGTGTATTATATCGGTTAGCGATGAAAAATCATAGCATAACTTACTACTGTATTAATGCAATCATTTTATAATTGATAAATAATTTGTAAACGGATTTATAAATAAATTAAATGAAAACCTATTATTCTTGATCTCGACATCATTTCGACACATATACAAGACTTCGTACAAATCTATTGAAGCACTTGTAATGTTATATTTCTGTATAAATTGCAGTGTATTTTGTCGATTGAATTGTGTGTTAGTGAACGCTATTTTACTGCCGGACACTAATGAGTGACAAAACAATACGACTCCTAAATAGTGGGAGAAGTGTTGGCCGACAATGCAGTCATCGCCGGTCAGCTGAAGTATCTGCGAGTCCTGTAATTGCGTACACGAGTGGATCAAATTGCTATTTGTCAGTAGAATTGGCGTCAACTGATTGGCCGTTTCATCCCTGATCTGTCTAATGAAGTGCATAACACACATGTCGTCTCCGGTCTTCGGCACCGGAATCGGCAACGGTTTGGTCGACGAGTCGGCCTCCGGTCGGTGTTTGTATCGCATGTATTGCATTAAAAAGTGACAATTCTTTGTGTCTTCAATGTCTGGATCGGTGTTACCATCGATTATAAACAAACGCTAATAAAAGTTGTTTTTAAAAATATTGTTTGAAATAAATGGTAGCAAATTCTGGACTCACTTCCAAACTCTGTAATCCGTGTAATATTTTCAGCGCTTCACTCGTGTTATCCGACAAACAGATCAAGAATTTAGCGGAACTTAATTTAATCACTCGATAGACATCATCTGATCGGTGGACACATTGACGGCAAATGTTTTTGTAAAATCATTCAAACAATAAATATGTTTTTCGTAAATTGTTTACCATAACTCATATTGGGATCAATTGGAAGATAAGTGGCTCCGGAGGATATGGTGGCCAAGAAAGCGATGGCGTGAACATCACTGTTGGGACACCAGAAGCCGACGGTATCGCCCGGATTCAGATCAAATCGGTTGATGAAGGCGTCGGCCAAACTCATACACACGTCGTGTATCTCTTTTCCCGTCCAAACACAACCCGTCGGACAGTCTATCTGTCGGTGCAAATCCATTGGCTGTAAGTATTTACTGTCATTTGATTAGCAATTGTTTTGTTGCTTACAATTAATTGTTTGTCTTTATGTTGCAAAAGACGTCCCAAAAGATAGGCAGAGAGACAAACGTTAGGCACATCTCTGACGCCCAGTTGTTTGCACTCTAGGACTCGATCGCTATTAATATTCATTAAATACTTAATGTAATAATAATTTATAATGAAGTTTTAAAAGTGTTATTTGTGTTGAATTTTTCATTTTGATACATATTTTTGTCATAAAATAGCATTTTATAGACAATTCCCTTTACTTTCAGGAAATACTATAATTCCTGATTCAATGAAATGATAACAAATTAGACTTTTTATTAATTAATAATTAAAAAATAAATAGATTGTGAATATATTTTGCAGTGAAAAAATTCTGTTACTTATTATTATTATTTATAAATTATAATTACGATTCTTGACAGCAAACGAAACAAATCGTCTCAATTATGTTAAAAGTATTTTAAAGTTTCAAAGTTTTTATAAAACTATTATTCAGTCTTTGAATGATTTAAAACAAGCGTTGATTTCTTTATAAAATTATATATTTTATTAATTTAGTATTTAAATATTTTTTAACTTAAAATTCAGTTAAAATGCTTTTACATTAATGTTATTTGCATTAAATTAGTAGACGATTACAGTATATTTAACACATAAAATAAGTAATAAATTTACTTTAAAATATAAATAACAAAACAACAAATAAACAGAATTTAAACTTAAATTAATGAATAAAACAAATAATATAAATGAAAAGTTTCGGTAAAATTAAAAACAACAAAAATTGAATGAAAATAATAATCAGATTATTATTTTGTAGGAGTCGTCGGGTTTGGGACAACACTCGTGCCCTTCTTCTGTGTGACGAGTGCTGTATTCATAGGAATTTTATAATTAGATAAATATTAGAAATTAATTTTATTTTGAGAACTATTTGTGAATGAAATACCGGATCTCTGGGCGTCACTGACTGCCGATGCGTTGCTTTGTTGTCCAGAATCTGTCAAATAATACAAATCATTAATTTGTAATTCATTTTAATTGTATTGAAATGTGTTTCCATACTGTCATCGGTTTTGCCTTTTGTGAACCACTTATAGACAAAATACATGACCACAACTAAGACAACAACAACGATAACGAGTATCACTAATACAATCCAAGTGGACGTCGAGGGACTGGCACTTAAAGTGGGAGTCGGTGTCGGAGGAAGATTAAGATCGCAGTCAATGAGTGTCTTGAGATTCTTGTCTTCGCACTAAACACACGAGTCATACATGAATTAAAACACAAATTACATAATAAAGAGAAGTGAAATGAATTGGATTTGTAATTGACTGACCACTTCTGGCATTTTGTCGGGACTAAGATCTGCGTAACAATACTTAATCTCGTGTTTGTGTTGAAACAATACAATCAATGAATCGTCACTTATTTGTCTCAAATCTCTTTGGCCTAAGACTGCGATCACTGGAAACACTGTTCGGTTGGCGAGGATTTGGTCGTAAAGTTTATAATGGCGTCTCTCGTCAATGCCTTCCGGGAGGTCGGGGTTCTTGTAGTCAGCGAAATGACGCGACAGTGTCTTAGATCCGTCCCAGAAGTACACGTGTCTCAGATGTGTGGAGTTTTTGCGCGAATACACGTAATTCATAACCCAAGACATAGTCGCTGTCATAGCGTCGGTAGAATTACTCGATTTGGCCGATGGCTTGTGATTGCCGTCAACGTTGAGGTTTGCGTCCAAAACAGTCCATTCAATGTCTTTACTTCCCGTCTGTTATTATGGTTTGAAATGAAATATGCGATCATTTGCTTCACAAACGCAAACCTCATGTCTGAATGCATACCTTCATGAGTCCACTGATGCCGTATTCTTCCTGTCTTTTATCCATGTTATCATATGACAGATATAACAGACAAATAGCCTTTGAATACTCGCCGCCAAACCAATCGCTGTGTCCACTGCTCTCCACATCGATGGACACTGTCTTGAGTTTGTCGTCCATTGCGTCGTTTGGTTTCAATCGCCAGAAGTCGTGTCCAATGAAGATGTAATGTCTGAACGCGTCGTTTGCGTTCACTATATGTCTGTAACCGTAAGAAATCTTGTAATTGTTTTCTTTGAATTTATCGCAAAACTTGAATCCATTTCCCAATTGAATGAAAACCAAAACTAAAAGTGTTAACAAACAAAACATGTCGTCATTTAATCTATCAATTGATTCATTCATTTACCGAAAGCCAAAGTGTTTAGCATTTTATCCAAACCTATGGTTAGAAGCGATGAATGCATGAAATGAATGGACTTTGAAATGAATTCTCAAAAGTAAACCGATTTATGGTTTGAAATGAAATCAAAATTCTCTCAAAAGAGTTGTAATGAATATCTCGTGAAAAGTATTATTGATTACAGTATTGAATGCATTACTCGTTAAGTCCGACAAAGTGTTGAAAACTATAGAAAACTTAAAAAACGGTTTAATTAATTGTTTTCTATTCACAAACAAAACGCGATTAACAATGAATTCACGAAATAGTTATACACTTTTAAAAGTGATTTAAATTCAAACAAAACTTTATAAACGGTTTATTACTTATTGACAGATATTGACAGTTACTGTAGAAAACAAAAACTCTTTAAAATTGTTATCATTTTGTGATAAAACCTAAAGACAAGCGAAGACTCGGATCAGAAGAATGTCGAAAAAGGAGGACAAAGGAGGGAAAGAAGTGAAGTCGAGTCGGTCTCAGACGGGGATAACAACGGGTCGGACGCCGTCTATGGAGTCGACCGCTTCGGTGGACACGAAGACTGCGGGAAAGTTTACATCAAAAAAGCCGTCGCCAGAAGACTCATTAGTTGCCAATTATGGACGCGATCTCTTCGACACGTGTTGTGCGATGATATGGTGTCCGACACATAACAAGTTGGCCTTAAGTAAAATCGGTCCGCAAAAGGGCTATTGGTTTCCCGTGAGTGCCATCAGAAACGGCGAGAGTTGGTACGACTCGACGGTCAGACTCTTGAAGACAGCGTTGAAAGTGAGTTCAAAGACAAAGACAGAGAAGAATTATCTGTCGTTCAAATCCCCGCAACTCATTCACGTATATCGGCTCCAAATGCCCCAATACTTTGATTTCATCACCCGATGTGTCTTCAAGACTGAACTAAAGGTTGATTCGAGCGGCAAATTCCCCACCAATTGCTGTCAGACATCGAAGACAATGAAATGGGTGACAGTGGATGAGCTGACGGGTGGCAAAGTGCCGGACGTGTGGGGACCCGAACCTCAGATGTTGGTCGACGCGCTCATCAAAAAGAGCAACAGTGTTGACAATTACAGCGAGTTCTCCATCAAAGACGCCATGAAATATGTGGTCAAAGACGGAGAGCCGAAGACATTTCAGGAAGAGTTGGTTAGAGGCGCCGGTTATGCGGACAAAGAGGTGTCAGAGCTTTACGGCCAATACATTCAACACACGTTTCCCTCGCAATACTTC